AATTCTAAAATTTCTGTTTCAGATCCTAATTATAGTCTAAGAAAACAAAGGTATGAATTCCTTCGGGACAAATTTAAGAATGTTCTCGACGAATATCGTGGACTTGAAAATGCTTATATGCAACAGCAAACCGAAAGAATAGCCCGACAATATAAAGTTATAAAGCCAAATGCTACCCAACAGGAAATTGATGAATATGTATCAAACCCAAATTCTCAACCAGTGTTTCAACAAGCTCTTTTACGTACTGGAGAGGCACGTGATGTATTAGGTCAGGTACAAAGGCGACATGAGGATATAAAGAATATTGAACAAACAATTGCAGAACTTGCAGCGCTTTTCCAAGAACTGGATCTCCAAATTGATGCACAAGATCCACTGATCGTGCAAATCGAGGGTAATGTCGATGATACTAACGTCAAGATAGAGAAGGCACAAGGTGAATTGACTCAGGCAAAGATGAGTGCGATTGCCGCCCGGAAGAAGAAATGGATTTGTGCTTGTATAATTCTTATAATAATCATTGTTGTTGCCATTGTTCTTGCTGTCCACTTCATCCACTACTACCATCGCCGTGCCTCAAACCCCTACATCCATTTCTAAATAAAGTACTAAATTTTCAAATTCAATTTATTTCTGGTACACATAAAATAGTTGAAAATAATTGCTGGTTTTATATAGAAATATTAAGTATTTTTGAAAGCAACTTGATATCAAGAGGACTAATTAATTGCATTAAGAATTCTTCTATCATAAGAAACTAACTTAATAAATTTTGTATTCATCAGATTTAATTTTCTCTCTAAATTATTAAAGTGAAAATTTTGCAGTATCTTCTTATTTAATAAGTTATTTTCACGGGGGTAAGTGATTTAATATAATAGAAAATTGTTAATAAACTATTGCTCGTATTACATCCTACGATTTTTGTGAAGGAATATTCCAATAGAAGTCTTAATTATTTCTCTCATTATAAACACAAAGATTACAATTGTAAAAAAAATTTCAGATGCGTAGATCAGAAAATTTTGTTTATTTATTTATTTTAGTCAAGCTAATAATTGTATATTATATTTTATTGTAAAAAATTTTTTTTAAAATTATATATAGTAATAGAAATTATATATTGTTTATTTAACTTTAAAGCTTTAAAATTTTTAAATTAGGTAGTCTATTATATATCATTAATTTTATAATCTTTTAAAATTAACTTAATTATTATAAACAAACTTAAATAAAAAAAAAAAAAACTCTTTCCGCTGATCCCCAATTTTTCAGAAAATTTCCTTT